TTTGCTTTAACTGCTTTTCTACTTGGCTTTTTGTTGTGTGGAAGGCTGTCGTTTATAAGCTTGTAAATGCATTTATGGGTCATTTCATGTATCTCGTTAGAAATCTTTACAGACAGCAGCATTGGGCTTCTTTTTCAGAGCTGGGGAGTGAACTCAGGGCCTTACATGTGCTGGGCAAATGCTGCTAGTGAACTCTGGGGGTTGTCTTTTAATTAAAAATAATCATTAAAAAATTTAGAAATATTTTTACGTGCATGAGCATTTTGCCTGAATGCATATATGTGCACCATGTGCATGCCTGGTGCCCATCGAGGCCAGAAGAGGGCATCAGATCTACTGGGATTGGAGTTGTAGATGGTTGTGAGCCACCATGTGGTTTCTGGGAGTGGAACCCAGGTCCTCTGAAAGAGCAGCAACTGCTCTTAACTAATGAGCCAACTCTTCGTCCCTTAACATTTTTTTTAAAAAGAAGTATTTATGCTTTATCTGCATGTATGCCTTTATGCCAGAAGAGGGCACCAGATCTCATTACTGATGGTTGTGAAACCACCATGTGGTTGCTGGGAATTGAACTCAGGACCTCTGGAAGAAGCAGCCAGTGCTCTTACACCACTGAGCCATCTCTCCAGCCCTAAAATTAAAAAACAAAAACAAAAAACAAAAAAACAAAACCAACAACAACTACAGCAAAACCAGCTTTATTTATTATTATGTATATGAGCATTTGCTGACATGTCTGTCTGTCTGCATATCACGTGCCTGTCTGGTACTTAATGAAGCCAGAAGGCGTTGGATCCCCCGGAACTGGAGTTACCATGTGGTGCTGGGGATTGAACCTGGGTCCTCTGCAAGGGCAGCCAGTGCTGTTAACGGCTGGGCCATCTCTCCAGTCTCAGCCCTTGGTGTTTGAAACAAGGCCTCATTGTATAGCCTAGGCTGGGTCTGAGGCCTACATGTAACCTAGGCTAGCCTAGAATCCCCAAATTCTGGCATAACAGCACATCCCACAATGGCTTTCTAAATGATGTCATGTGTGTAGTCAAAGATACTTTGGGGGTTAAAATAGTTGCGTGTCCAGGCTGCAGTTTTCCCCCTCGGCCCCCAGCACTGGTTTCTTCTTTGTTGGTGCCCAAAGCATCTGGTTCTTGGGATTTATAGGCACCAATGGCCTTAGGGAACAATTTTTCTCCCTCTCAAGTTCAGCATCTAAAGGCATTTCTTTAACACTCCAGAGAGAAAATAGTAACCAAGAAAATCAATAGTCCTAACCCAAGCAGAACGGATTTGGGAGAGGTTTCCTCTACAGACCCCTACCTGTCTTTTAAAAAGAGTGGCCATATCAACCTCATATCTTTTTCTTTCAACTTTATTAAGAAAAAAAAGTTGGGAGTGATGGTATAACCATGATTTCAGCACTGAGGCAGGATCACGCTCATAATTCTGGGGCAAACTGGGCCATACAGCGACACACTGTCTTTAAAAAGGAGGGACTAGGGTTGGGGATTTAGCTCAGTGGTAGAGCGCTTGCCTAGCAAGCACAAGGCCCTGGGTTCGGTCCTCAGCTCTGGAAAAAAAAAAAAGGAAGGAAAGGAATGTAAAAAACGTTCACAGGTAGACAGTAAGTTCTAGGGGCTGGAGAGATGGCTCAGTGGCTGCTCTTCCAGAGGACCTGGGTTTGGTTCCCAGCATGGCAGCTTACAACCCTCTGTAACTTCAGGGATCTGCTGCGCTCTTCTGACTTTTGTAGGCACGGCATCTATGTGATGGACAGACAGACATGCAAACGCTCATGCACATAAAATAAAAAATCAAAAAAACAAAAAAGAAAAATGCTCTGACCTATAAATATTATATGGCCACAAGTCATCTTCATCACAATAGATGGATTTATGCATTACACTTAGAGGGGTCAAAGAACATGTGTCTTCTTCAATGATTTCACCGAAAGAGAGTTTTTGGTTTGGTTTGGTTCAGAATGTACCACCCATGCCATAACTGACAGTCACACTGGTTACCATCTGCAGATGAGAAAGCTGAAGCTAGACACAGGACGATATTCTTCCAGGAAAAGAAAAAAAAAATTCCCCTTTCTTTTTGCTAGGCTTCATGGTGCAAGCCTGCCTTGCCGATTTTTTTCCCTGGAAAGCCTATCTTTTCTGGAACTGAAGCAGGAGAATCATAAACGTCAGGCTTGCCTGTGCTACAGAATGAGCTCAAGGGCAACCTGGGCAATTTAGTGAGATCCTGTGTCAAAACATTTTAAAAAAATTTAAAAAACTTGTTTTATGTGTACGAATGTTTTGACTGCACGTATGTCTGTGCATCATGCCACATGCATGCCTGGTGCCTTCGGCAGCCAGAAGAGGGCATCAGAGTCTTCGGATCGGGGGGTTATAGATGGTCATGAGCCACCTAGGTGCTGGGAACCCAGCTTGGGTCCTCTGCAAGAGCAGCTGTGCTTGTAACCGCTGAACCATCTCTCCAGTCCCGTTTCAAAAGAAGCAGCAGAAAGAGAACTGGGGTTACCACTCAGTGGTGGAACTCCTGCCCTTGGCTTCAGTACTAAAAACCACGAAAACAAAAATGAAGACACGCTCACACATGCTCACAGGAAGGCAAACGGCAGTAGTGTTATGACATTGCGTGCATGGGACCCCGAGGGTACCCACCCACTCGTGCAGGGAAACGTGCTGGCATGATGGGCACGGTGGCAGCAGGCGGTAGGCATTCGTTCACAACCCCGGCGCTGCATCCGCAGGGAAATGAGTTTATTATAATGGGAGATAAGGAGAAGGGCCGGGCAGTGGTGGCGCACGCCTTTAATCCCAGCCCTCGGGAGGCAGAGTCAGGCGGATCTCTGTGAGTTCGAGGCCAGCCTGGTCTACAGAGCGAGATCCAGGAAAGGTGCAAAGCTACACAGAGAAACCCTGTCTCGAAAAACCAG